GATACATCTCCAAAATGTGGAAGATGTCTTGCACTTAACCACTTATTACTTTCCTCATAGCCCTAAGTTATTTTTGTATATTTTGTTTGCTGGTTGAAAATCAACTTTTCATTAAGCATCTGATATGTGGGTGATGTGACTTGAAAAGGATATTTCAGGAATCAGCTATTGTTCAGTTCTCCTTTCCAACACAAATCAAAGGGTACATAATTGTATTGGTCAGGATAGGATAGGATATGATGCATTAACAAACCCTAAATCTCAGTGACTTGGCATATGTTAGACGAAAGCTCTTCTCCATCTGGCGACTCAAGAATCCAGCTTTATTCTATGCAGAAATGCCTGCCTTCTCTATCTGGGGCTCCCAAGGTCACCATGGCAGGGAATATAGTACAGGGAGACAGCACACCAGCTATTAAATATCTCCATCCAGAAGTGACACACATCACTTACATTCACATTTCTTTGGCAAGAACTGGACACGCATCTTGCCATCTTTAATAAAGTGACTATATAAAAGATGATGGAAGTGATCCCGTTCCAGCTCCAAGCTTTGAACCTTAAGAAGGTCTGGCAGCCTCTGCTTTTGCAATTTGGGGATCCCTCGAGCCACCAGTTCCAGTTACTCTTCTGGTGGGACCACGTAGGAAGACCCTGTGGAGGGGCCACACGGAGAGGGCGAGGCTCTAGGACTACTTGGGGGGTGAGAGAAGTCTCATCTCAGAACTTCAGCTGAGCCCAGTCTTCCTCTGCCTTCACCCAGGGGCCAGACATGAGAGTCAGGACATCTTGGACATTCCAGCCCCTGCTGGCAGGTCACTGCAGCTTTATGAGAGACTGTTCATAAGACCAGCAGAAGAGCCATTCAGCTGAGCTTTAGTCAACTCACAGAACCAAGGAAAATAATAAAATGGTGGTTGTTCTAAGTCACTAAGGTTTGTGACATAACTAAAATGGCCACCAGGCAGCAATGCCCCCAGAGAGGAAGCCTGGGGATAAACATTTCAACCTCACTCTTCTCTCTCCCTCTGATCTCCTTGTAGGTGCTCCTCATAAATTGAATCTAATTGGAAGCAGAGGGCAAGGGAAGCTTTGATGTTATCCATAAAGGTCAGCCTCTCAGGGCACAGATCAGGGGAGAGAAGAATGGAGACTGGATCTGGAGAGGCGAACAGAAGCCATTCAGTAGGGTTCACCCCCTGTGCCCTGCAGCATCAACTCTTGATCTCTGTGCAGGTGAAATTTTGTCTCCCCATCATGGGAGATACTCAAAGTCCTTCAGCTTCCATATTACCATAGGGAAATGTTTATTCAGTCATAGTCCCAACTGAATCTAAAATATTAGACAATACTAGAGCTTTTTATTTTTTGGCCATGTTGTGAGACATGCGAGATCTTAATTCCGAGACCAGGGGTCGAACCCGTGCCCCTGGCCATGGAAAGGTGGAGTCTTAACCACTGGACCACCAGGGAAGTCCCGACTCTAGCATATTTCATATCAGGTGGCTAGGACAAGAGGGAAAGGGATGTGGAAAAATAATTAATTGATATGTAAAACATAGCTATGACCATCCCTGCTTCTGTGACTGGTCATGAGGTCTAAGCAGGTGGTAATTATAGCTGCATTCTTCCAGATTAGCTTCATGTTTTTCTTATCCTCTGATACCATGTCAGCTGGATGGGATCCTTTACCCAGTAGGGTGACTCAAACCTTCTTTCCCGTGGGGTTTCAGTTCTTAGTGGTTTTGCTTTATTGCACCGCTACAGTTTCCCATTGACTGGGAGAGTTGGCCAATTGAGTACTACGAGGCCTCCAGTGAATCCTCTGGGCTCCAAACATAGTTCTCTGCCTTTCTTGTGTAGCAGCAACCCAACTTCTCCCTGGTAATCAGGATCAATGACCCAGCCAGCACAGGAGCCTCATTCTCTGCATTCCTCCCTTGGGCACTAGGATCTCTAAGGGACGCTAAGGTCACAGAGACGGAAAGCAAAAATTCTTCAAGTGTACCGTGTGATAGGGAGAAGAAGCACTCTCACCTTTGACCCTTGGTGCCCATGCATTCTGGCTAGGAAAAAGAAGGCACCAGAAATTGACCACCGGTTAAAAGCATGCCTCTACGTATAAATCGGCAGCCCAACCTCACAGGGTGGTGTCTCCCAGCTGGTGTCTGGACTGAGCCATCAGCAAGCCACTCCACTGTCCTGTCAAGCAAGCTGCTCCTGTGTAATGGAGCACGTGGTAAGGTCCGCAAAGTCCACAGATGCTGAGGGCAGGGCTCAACTTACTGCCATAAAATGCATCCCCTCGTCTCAGGCAATGCTGTGTGGGATACGATGGTGGTGAATAAGGTGTTCCGAGAGAACAAAAGCTGGTGGAGTTGGCAGAAGCGCTGAGCTCTTGCCGCTGATTTTCCAAGATTTATCTTTCCAAGCTCCTGACCAACTGAGTCACTGTCCGTGTGTCACTATAGTTTTGTACCTCAGGCTACCTCTTCTTTTTTCTTTATTGAAGTAGAGTTGATTTACAATATCGTGTTAGTTTCAGGTATACCGCACTGTAGGTCCAACTGTACAGCACAGGGAACTATACTCAGTATTTTGTAATAACCTATAAGGGAAAAGAATCTGAAATGGAATATATACACATACTCTCACTATATATATTGAACTATACTCTCTCTCTCTCTCTCTGTATATATATATATACACACACACTCAATTGAGTATATATATACATTGAGCAGAGTTCCCTGTGGCAGACTGCTAGTGCAGCGGCCCTCACTTCTGGCGGGTAATGGCACAACAGGCAGGTCCATCAATAAATCTTGACTAAGTTTTTCCCTTTTCTGTTAACTGGCGGTATGGAACTCCTTGCAAGGCACTGGTGTGGATTGAGAAAGAGGTGACAAAGCAGAAGGAGCTGGGGGGAGGCTTGCCACCTGCTTATGCAGTTTCCTTGTGTCTTCCTGACCTGCTTATGAGACCGGACATACCATTTCTATTTTATAAGAAATCTGCTGTGCACGTCCAAATTTTGATGTTTTGGTAGAACACATACTGCTGAGTTTATTATGGGCAGTTTGGGTCACAGGTGTTTGTCAGGGCCTAGTTATCCAGGAGTTTTGTTTTGTTTTTCAGTACATCATAGTTGATGGCCTTTTAGGAGCTGAGTCCTTCCACTGAGGGATGCAGCTGAGTTCTTAGAAGGGGGCTGGAGGAATAAATATCCTAACCTCCCTCTTCTTCCTCTCTCTGAGCTCCTTGGTTTGTCATGGGCTGAACCTAAATGGAATCCAGAGAACAGGGGGTTCATTGGTGATTGTAGACCATATAGGTCACCCTCCCAGGGCACAAAGCAGGGTGGACGGTGGATCTAGAGAGGCAAACGGAAGATATCCTGCACATCGGGTGAGTATAGTAAAGGGAGACACAAAGGAATTAAGAATGAAGTGAGGGACTTCCCTGGTGATCCAGTGGTTAAGACTCCGTGCTCCCAATGCAGGGGACCCAGGTTCAATCCCTGGTCAGGGAACTAGATCCTGCCTGTGGCAAAGAAGATCCCGTATGCCGCAACAGCCAAATAAATAAATAAATAGTCAAAAAAAAAATGAAGTGAAGGATAACATTTAAGCTGGGTAGGGGGAGTGATGAGGACATGGGAAGAGGGGGACAGCAGTGAGAAAGATGCAGGATCTTATAACTACAGGTCCAATGGGGGTTACAGAGTATTTAAGTGGGAATACTAAGGCAAGTTGGGAAGACAGAAGGTGTCTGTCAGAGAAGGGAACCGCTTAAAATAAAACTCTTGTGTGAAATACTGGTCATGATAAGGTTTAGAATAGCCCTGTCCAGTGGAACTTTCTGTGATGATGGACACGATCTATATCTGTGCTGTCCAGTTCTGTAGCCACTCGCCACATGTGGCTATTAAGCACTTAAAATGTGGCTAGTGTGAGGACTTCCCTGGTGGTCCAGTGGCTAAGACTCCACGCTCCCAATGCAGGGGGCCCAGCTTCAACCCCTGGTCAGGGAACTAAGATCCTGCCTGTGGCAAAGAAGATCCCATATGCCGCAACTAAGACCCGGCACAGCCAAATAAATAAATAAGCATTAAAAAAAATGTGGCTAGTGTGACTGAGAAAATGAATTTTAGATTTTATTTCATTGTAATTAATTAATTTTATTTTTGATAGCCAAAGGGGGCTAGTGACTACTGAATTGGATAGTACAGGTCTAGAGTGTGATCACGTCAGCTGCTTTATTGGGAGGTGCAATCTAAGGGCAGCAAAGAATGACGGAAAAAAGGGAGCAGAAGCAAATACATGTGGTGAGTTACAGAGCTGGTCACAGCCTCACAGGAAAACACACCGGTCACACAGGACATCTCTGGAGGTGCCACGTGGCAGTGCTGTGGGAACAGCCCATCAAGGGCAGGAAGGAAGATACACTTGTTTGCTGGCTTCTTCTCATCTCCAAGGGTGCCCCACAGGGTGTTAATTACTCCACACTTCTGGGTTGTGCTGGGAAAGCAGCGCTTCATCTAATCTGGAAGCTGTGTGAGGAGCCAGTCAGTAGGTCACTATGGACCTGGGTGCTGAAGCTGCTGCTTCCTAAGCGGGCATGACGGACCTCAGGCCAATGCCATGCTTTCACTCCCAGGGAGTCTGAGTCACCTGGGGCATTAGGAGATGAGGTGAGCTCCACTGAGCAAGAGGCCAAGGTCAAGAGGTAGGGTCAGGGGGAGCCAAATGAGTCTGGAGTAGTGTATGAACTCAGTCTTGTATATTGTGAGTGACCTTGGGCAGGTCAGCTAAGTACTTCAAGTCTTAGCTCCCTTTTTTGTACAATGGTAACAGGCCCTACCTCGTATGCTGGTTCATATTATTCATACACATTACCCAGTATTATTTACAAGAACTTTGTAACAATAGGTGAGACAGCCATCATTCTTGCCATTTCACAGATGTGGAAACAAAGAGAGAGTAGATGAAAATACTTACAAATGCTATAGCCAGAGTCCCTCTGACTCAACTTCTTACTCTTTCCACCCTGTCACATGTCCCCTTGAGATTTCATCTGAGGACTGAATTTCAAAACCCTAAGAGAGAGGATTCAAACATGAAAGTGAGTTAAAAGTTATACACGGGGGCAGATATTATAAAGGGTAAAATGTGTGTCCAACGACATTGATTTTATAAAGTAAAATGTACTTTGAAATCAGTTTACAAGCATAGTTTTATTTTTAATTTTTTTTAAATTGGAATATAGTTGCTTTACACTGCTGTGTCAGTTTCTGCTGTACAGCAAAGTGAATCAGCCATACGTATACATATATCCCCTCTATTTTGGAGTTCCTTCCCACAAGCATAGCTTTAGAAGCACTCCAAAAAAATGTTTGTTTTGAACGAAGTTATTTCTGTTGAATCGTACTGATCTGTTGAAGCATAAAACATAAGACCCACTCTTCCGAACAATTTTCAGAGGACGCAGTCTCATTTGCCAAGCGAGCGCAGCAGGAGAGCTGCTATCATTGAGACCACACATGCTCTGACTTGTCAAGACCTACCTTCGTGTTTCCCCCTGCCAAGTAACAGGCTCAGCTATCATGATCTCTAATCCCTTGGATGCAGCTGCCTGTCAAAGACTGTTAGAGCCCAAGCCACACAGCTTTCACTGACAGCAAACCTCTTTCCGATCTGAGTTCCGAGGAAAAGAACTCAAGATGGAGGGATTAATTGAGCAAAGACCCTCCAGACAGTATGAGTAAAAACTTAATGATGAAAATGAGATGTGTGAACTGTTAATTTTTTGCACTTCATGTACATATAGAGTGAAATCAAGACTCTCTTAAAAATAGGGTTATTACCTTGTAGCCTTCAAACTCTCTGAGTAAGACGATATGGGAGTGACAGTAAGGGACACAGACAGAGCTCTTAAAGAAGCCTGGCAGTTCCTGGGAGCACACAGCACAGATGAGCCGTTTCAAAACTGAAGACATTTCCTGTGAATTACACGGACGCCATAGGGCTATGGAAACAGAAACTGGCACCTATTAACTGATGTTCTTACCCTGAGAAGCAAATGGTGGAAGGGATGAGAAGGTCATCCAAATGTTAGACTGAGTCAGGTGTCCTGGAGGCCCAGGGCCTCCTCATCAAGAGAGAGGCAAACAGGGGCTCTGCGTCTCCAAACTTGCTCCCCTAGTCCTAAACCAGAAGGTGATGGTGGCAGTGCCAAGATACAGTGAGGATCAGCACGGGCTCCTTTCATGGGAAGCTAAGAGGTCGTCTACTACTGATGTAAACACTTCCATGGACTATCTCCAAGGCCACTTTTTTTTTTTTTTTGTAAATTCATTTATTTACTTTTGGCTGCGTTGGGTCTTCGCTGTTGCACGCGGGCTTTCTCTAGCTGCGGTGAGCAGGGGCTACTCTTTGTTGCAGTGCGTGGGCTTCTCATTGCAGTGGTCTCTCTTGTTGCAGAGCATGGACTCTAGGCACGTGGGCTCCGTAGTTGTGGCACACGGGCTCAGTAGTTGTGGCTCACAAGCTCTAGAGCGCAGGCTCAGTAATTGTGGCGCACGGGTTTCGTTGCTCCACGGCATGTGGGGTCTTCCCGGACCAGGGCTCGAACCCGTGTCCCCTGCATTGGCAGGCGGGTTCCCAACCACTGTGCCACAGGGAAGTTCATCCAAGGCCATCTTTAATGATAAGGAAAGAGAGTCTCAAGTATGTTATAGTCTGGAATGGTAGAATTTCAAATAAACTTTCCACCAGAAGAGATAGAAATGGTGCTGTCAGAGAAGATACATGTCTGCTGTACGTGTTTGTGTTCTTGTGTCCAGAATGGTGCCTGCCATGGATACAATAGGACAATCTTTGTCATCAATGCTGATGGTAACAAGGCTTGATTTAAAAAAAATTTTTTTTCCTGGGATTTCTGGAGTAATTATTTGTTTACCTTTCACTTTCAGTGGTCAGGGGATGAAAACACATATGTTTTGACTTCACATTGTCTTGTGAGGCATTAACCAGCTGTCCTTTCATGAACAGCTGTGAACACAAAAATGTTTCAATACTATTATGTATTCTTTAGACAACTTCTCATTTTATCCCCCCCTTCTTTCTCCTTAAGTATACAGATATCACTCAAGGTTCTGCTAGTTATATGATGTTGAGAAAATTATGTAATTTCTTTGATGTTACATTTCTACATTTGCTTAATAGGGATGATAGTAATGCCTATCTCACAGCGGTGTTCTGAAAAGTAAATTAGTTATTATCTGTGAGTGTCTTCAGCAGGATGTTTAGTGGACTGTAGGTATGCATAGGATTATTGGATTAAAAAACATGCAAAAATGGGACTTCCCTGGCAGTCCAGTGGTTAGGACTCCGAGCTTCCACTGCAGAGTTCAATCCCTGGTCAGGGAACTAAGATCTGGCATGCTGCGTGGTGCGGCCAAAAGTTAAAAAAAAAAAAAAAAAAAAGCAAAAATGACAACGAAGTTTTACTTAGCTGACATTTAAAATTTCTCTTTTGAGTCTGCTATGAATATCAGAAGAAAAAGGGAAAGGAGCAGGAAATAGTCAATATTTTAGAAAATACTTCAGAAGAAAATCAATGTCATATGGCCCAAACTTTTTTTTTTTTCAGATTTAGGCCAATTCTACCTTTCCTGAAATATGGTCAGTTTGAATTTTCTTTTGATTTTGAGGAATTTTCTTTAAATCAAAGACTTCTAAACATCTAGATTTTTCAGAGAAAATACAAAGAATTAGGAAAAGAAAATCTTGCAGCATTTCTGGTTTCATCTGGATTGGAATTTATAAATTCTTTTAAAAAAATTTTTAGACAGATTTTTAAATTTTATTTATTTATTTTTGGCTGCGTTGGGTCTTCGTTGCTGTGTGTCAGCTTTCTCTAGTTGCAGCGAGCGGGAGCTACTCTTCATTGTGGTGCACGGGCTTCTCACTGCGGTGGCTTCTCTTGTTGCAGAGCACGGGCTCTAGGTGCATGGGCTTCAGTAGTTGTGGCATGTGGGCTTAGTTGCTCCGCAGCATGTGGGATCTTCCTGGAACAGGGATCGAACCCGTGTCTCCTGCATTGGCAGGCGGATTCTTAACTACTTGAACCACCAGGGAAGTCCCTGGAATTTATAGATTTTTATCAAATGTTTTATAATTTTTTATAAAATGGGAAAACTATTTAACTTGCATGAATCTTGTCATTCTCAATTAAAATTTTGTGCAAAAAACCTCATACAATAAGTTACTGCTAATAACTAGAGAGGTAAATGGAAATCAAGTTTTTAAAAAAACATCAGCAATAAATAGTGATTGCCTACTATTTTATGCAATACGCTAAGCAATGGGAATATAATTAAAATTTTCAGGAAACTAACATTCAAGTCATTCAAAAGGACAGTTAGAAGAGTTGACTGTGAGTGCATTATTTTATGAGAAAACAATCCTCTTTCTTTGGTAGAAATTTTATGTTTTTTCTACTTGATTCTGTGTAATTTGGTGTTTACCCGGGACACCCCTTGTGGGGAGTAGAAACAGGGCGATTGAATGTAAAGGGATTTGAGGGTGAGGCTAGGCAGAACAGGCAGGGGCTTGATTATTCATCTGGCTTGGAAATTGCCTGGTTTATAAATGAGCTGAGAACTAAAGTCATTATTTAGAAACAAAAGGAGAAACTTTCTCATTAAGACCAACTTTATGGTCATAAGATTACAAGTCCGCTAGGGAAATTAGGGTCAGGAGAGAATGAGTGAAGATGCCAAGCTAGGATGAATTATCCAGTAAGATGCTGTGGAAATACCCAAGATAGCATACATCTCAGCTTTGGAGAGATGAAGAAAGTCCCTCCTTGGAGGAGGGGAAACTTAAGTTGAACTTTTGTGGGTACATAAGAGACACACAGGAGTCAGCCATGGGAAAGAGGATTGAAAAAGGAAGGAACCACACCCAGGAGCTCTGGTTCAAAGACCAGCAAGCAACACATTTGGATTGACTGGGATGCTGAGAGGTGAGGCCAGAAAGGTGACCAGATATTAGATAAAGAAAAACCTTCAATCTGTCATGAAGGCAATAGAGATCCATTAAAGGATTTAGGTTAGGGGAAGACTTTAAGCAGACTTGCCTTTGAGTAAGATCCCTCAGGACTAGTGTGAAGAAGAGATTGAGGGAGATAGTCTAGATATTGGCCAAAATCAAAGTCTTAGAGGGAAGAAAGTGACATATAATAAACCTGTTTTTCAAGTTTAATCCAATTTTAATTTCCTCGTGTTGCTCTTAGAAGCAACCCAGACATCTTTTTTTTTTTAAATTAATTAATTAATTATTTTTGGCTGCATTGGGTCTTCTTCGCTACGCGCGGACTTCCCTAGTTGCGGCAAGCAGGGGCTATTCTTTGTTGTGGTGTGCAGGCTTCTCATTGCAGTGACTTCTCTTGTCGCAGAGCACGGACTCTAGGCATGCAGGCTTCAGTAGTTGTGGTACGCGGGCTTCAGTAGTTGTGGCCTGTGGGCTCTAGAGTGCAGGCTCAGTAGCTGTGGCGCACAGGCTTAGTTGCTCCACTGCATGTGGGATCTTCCTCGACCAGGGCTCGAACCCGTGCCCCCTGCATTGGCAAGCAGATTCTTAACCACTGCGCCACCAGGAAAGACCCAACCCAGACATCTTGAGTAACTACCTAAATATATAAATTCAATTTGCAACCTTCATGTAAATATATACTGCTAATGTGTTGGTAGATTTTTATACAAACAAGAATTTCAAGACAAGCTGGATGTAGTTCTAGAGATGATTTTCCCCTTGTGCAAGCTCAGTGGCTGGATTCCTTTGATTTATCATTTAAAATCATTAGTCATGTCAGATGTTATGAACAATTGTATAATTAAGGATATATACTCCCTCTCTGAAGGGCACCTCTATGAAACACAGATGGCACTTTCAGGGTTTTTCATATGTGATTTAAAAATGAATTCACCAGTGATTTTAAAATGAATTCTTAATTTTTTAGTTCCTTGACATTGTAAACCATAACATTATGAAACTCAATGGTTTCATTTCTGTAGTTTAATGCAGACTCAGGATTAAGGACTATCATGATCTTCATAAAGATAAATTCTGGGAAACATAAAAGTGTGGAAACGTGTACATTCTGTCTGTTCTTTGAAAAGTACTAAAACCTATTTTTCTCCAGAGACAGGCAGTGCCTTCTGCTACTCCTGAAAACTTTACTCAGCCATTGGCCTCTTCTATTATTACTGGCAGAAAAGTTTAGTTCCTTACCTTCGAGAGCAACTTCCTGGCAAGCCTGGGAGTAATACCTACCTACCTTTCAAAACCAAAGAATATAAAAGAACTTATAACTCAAAGTAACAGTCACCTGCCCCACCCCTGGACCATTTTCCAGAGGCAACTACTTGGAATCATTTTCTTGCTATTAATCTAATTTAGACATTGTCTTTTTACTTCCTGCTATGACAGGAGAGTATTTAGCACACTTATACCTCAGCTCAGTTCACTTACTTCCCTCTCATTTCTGTTAGTCATCTTCCTACACTGTATTTAGTTTCTCTATTGCAGAGGTTGCAAATGGATGGCCTGAAGGCCAGATCTGACTGTAGATGTGTTTTGTTTGAATTGCAGTGAGTTCAAAAACAAAACAAAAAACAAACAGAAAACCCCAACATGAAAAAAATGTTAAGATTTAACATTTAAAAATTCCAAATGTTTAGCCCCACAAAAAAGTCAGATGCAGGGGACTTCCCTGGTGGTGCAGTGGTTAATAATCCGCCTGCCAAGGCAGGGGACACGGGTTCGAGCCCTCGTCTGGGAAGATCCCACATGCCGCGAAGCAACTAAGCCCGTGAGCCACAACTACTGAGCCCGCGAGCCACAACTACTGAAGCCCATGCACTTAGAGCCCCTGCTCTGCAACGGGAAGCCACCGCAATGAGAAGCCCGCGCACTGCAACGAAGAGTGGCCCCCACTGGCCGCAACTAGAGAAAGCCTGCGCGCAGCAACAAGACCCAATGCAGCCAAAAATAAATAAATAAATAAATTAATTAAAAAGTCAGATGCTGCACGTTTTAGTTCCCTAGGGCTGCCATAAGAAAGTACCACAAACCAGGAAGCATAAAACTTAAAACAACTCTCACTATCCTGGAGTCTCGAAGTCTGGAATCAGGCTGGTAGCAGGACCATGCTCCCTCTGGAAGCTCTAGGAAAGAATCCTTTCTTGCCTCTTCTGAGCTTCTGGTGGTTGCCAGCAATTCCTGGCATTCCTTGGTTTGTAGCTGTATCACTGAAATTTCTTCCTCTCTCTGCATGTGGCCTTCTTCCCCTCTGTGTGTCACGTCTCTTAGTCCAAATCTCCCCTTCTTGTAAGGACACCAGCCATTGGATTTAGGGCTCACCCTAATCCAGTATAACTTCCCTTTACGAATTACATTTGCAGAGACACTTTTTCCAATTAGATCTCTTTCTGACGTTCCAGGTGGACATGATTGCTGGGGGGACACTCACCGAATACAAGGCAAATATGGCCCCTTTCCCATGAATTCACCAAAGCTGATTAAGTGGCTGTACTCTCCAGATGGGGCAAGCACTGACTCGTATGCCAAAGTTCTCTGCACATCTACCAGGTAAACACAAGCACCAGGACCTGAGCCCTGTTTCTCATTTATGTTGCTTGCTTTTCTCCTATAACTATTTCAGTTTGCTAACCATGCTATTGGTCATCTTTATAACTTTTAAATAATATACCAAAACTCCTATTTCATGTTTTATAAACTTTTGTCAATATCTCATGGCCACCTTCCTGTTTTGTGGTACCAGGATATTAGGGTTTTCTCCCAAGTTTCCCTCTATCTCTTCTGCTTCCTTTCCACCTCACGGATTTTTGTCGGTAGCATCTTAATTATTGTTATGGGTTGAATTGTGTCCCCCCCACCCCCAGCAAAATTCATATGTTGAAGTTCTAATCCCTAGGACCTCAGATTGTGACCTTATTTGGAAATAGGGTGACTGCAGATATAAGTAGTTAAGGTGAGGTCATACCGAAGTAGGGTGGGTCCCTAATCCAATATGACTGATGTCCTTAAAAATGGAGGGGGAAATTTGGAGACAGATACACACACAGGGAGAATGCCATGTCAAGGCAAAGGCAGAGACTGGGGTGATGCAGCAGAAGCCAAGAAATGCCAAAGATTGCCAGCAAACCTCCAGAAGCTAGGGGTGAGGCATGCAAGAGATTCTCCTTCACAGCCTTTAGAAGGAAACAACACTGCTGGCACCTAGTTCTTGGATTTCTAGCCTCCAGAACTGTGAGACAATAAAATTTCCATTGTTTTCAGTCCCCAGTCTGTGGCACTTTGTTATAGCAGCCCTAATTAATTAATATAACTTCATTATACATACATATTCAATGTTAGAGCACTCATATTACATTCTAAAATTTTAAGCATACTTTATGTTCTATGGCTCTCAAATGTCTGCTGATTCTGGTTTATCCATTCATATTTAAAATGAGGTGATAGACTTTCTGCTTCTGCTCATGAAGAGGTTACCAGTATGGGGCTGGCCACCTGCTGTAAACAACTAGAAAACTGGACACAATGTATGAAATAAATGTTCGAAGCCATTTATTTTTAGCCATGGAAAGAAAGGAGGGAATTCCCTGCCAGTCCAGTGTTTAGGACTCTGTGCTTTCACTGCTGAGGGCCTGGGTTCAATCCCTGGTCAGGGAACTAAGATCCCGCAAGCCATGCAGCGCGGCCGAAGAAAGGAAGGAAGGAAGAAAGGAAACCGATAAGGTACACCTTTTGACGGTTGCAGCTTTCTCCCTGGGGGCAATTTCTGGACCATAGTGCCAGGAGGAGAAATCCAGACATCACCTGGGAGATATCACTGTGTTGAAATCCAGAAATAAGGACTTGGGGAGGCTGAGGTGGCTGCAGTTTGTGGGGCAGAACACCAAAGAGGAGGGAGACATGCATAGGGAGTCCCTTGATTATTTGCCGGGATAATAATCTGAACCTATGTAAGATGAAACTACATGAGGCTGGGCAAAGAACAAAAGCTGGGAGCTATGAGCTAAACGAATCTTAGTGCTCACACAGGGCTAAGAGACATTTGATCTCCTACTAACTAGAGTGAAGAAAACACATGAAAAACCTGGGGCATTCAACAGAGAACCCAAAAGTGTTATGTCTTAGTAGTTATGCTAAATAAGCATTAGAATAAAGCTACTTTAGATCCACTCTAACAACGCGGAAAAGTAGGCCTTGATGTGATCAAGCTGATCCCCAAGTGACTAAATTTTCTGCCAAGCAAATTTAACATTAATTAAATAAGAAAACAAAGTTCAAATTTTCAAAAATATAACATTCATAATGCTCAACTTGTAGTCAAAAATTGCTAGACAAGCGAAGAAGGTGAAAATATGATCCCTAGCCAGGAGAAAAATTCAGTATGAAAAAAAGGGGAGGGGGTTAAATTCATCAGGCAGATATAATTTCTCAATGTGTATGCACCTAATAACAGCATTTCAAAATACATGAAGCAAAAATTGATAGAATTAAAGAAGTGAAAAATCCACAATTGCAGTAGATTTCACTCAGCTCAGTAAATGACAGATTAAGTAGCAATCTGTGAGAATATAGAACACCTATAAGTCAAATTATCCTGTTGACCCTTATAGAACACTACCCTCAACAACAGAAGAGTACACATTTTTTAAGTGACTATAGAATAATCACTAAAATAGGCCATATATTGAACCATAAAACAAGTTTTGATAAATTTATACATATTGAAATCATAGCAAGCATGTTCTTTGACCATAATGGAATTAAATTAGAAACTAGTAGTCAAAAGATATATGAGAAGAGTCTAATTATCTGGATAATCTGTATATTTAAAAAATATAGCATTTGGGGCTTCCCTGGTGGTGTAGTGATTAAGAATCCACCTGCCAGTGCAGGGGACACAGGTTCGAGCCCTGGTCTGGGAAGATCCCACATGCCGCAGAGCAACTAAGCCCGTGCGCCACAACTACTGAGCCCACGTGCTGCAACTACTGAAGCTCATGTGCCTAGAGCAGTGAGAAGCCTGTGTACCAAAATGAAGAGTAGCCCCCGCTTGCCACAACTAGAGAAAGCCCATGTGCGGCAACAAAGACCGAACACAGCCAAAAATAAATAAATAAAATAAATAAAAAATTAAAAAATATATAGCATTTGTCACTAGGGAACTTCAAATGAAAACAACGAGATACTACTACATACCTATTAGAATTACGAAAATCCAGAAAAAGTTGCCAACACCTGTTGCTGGTGAGGATGTAGAGAACAGGAACTCTCATTCACTACTGATGGGAATGGAAAATGGTACAATTAGGCAGCTTCTTACAAAGTTAAAAACAGTCTAAACATAATCTTACCATATGATTCAGCAGTTGCACTCCTAAGTATTTACCCAACTGATTTGAAATTTTATGTCTACCCAGAAACCTGCATACAAATGGTTATATCGTCAGCTTTGTTCATAATCACGCAAAACTCAGAACAACCAAGACATCTTTCAATAGGTGAACAGATAACCAAATGGTAGTGTATCTGTACAGTGGAATATTTTTCAGTGATAAAAAGAAAAGAGCTATCAAACCACAAAAAGACGAGGATGAATCTTAAATACACATTGTTAAGTGAAAGATGCCTGTCTGAAAAGACTAAATACTGTACAATTACAATTACATTCTGGAAAAGTAAAACTGTAGCAATGTTCAAAAGATCACGGGATACTTTTAGGGCAGCGAAACTATTTTATATGATACTCCAGTGGTGGATACATGAACTTCATAGCAGTCTTATTCATAATAGTCCCAAACTGGAAACAACCCGAATGTCCAACCAGAGGTGAATGGATAAACCATGTGGTATATCCATAAAATGGAGTACTACTCAGCAAGAAAATGAACTGAATTACTGATACAGACTACAACTTGATGAATCTCAAAAACTTTATGCTAAGCAAGAGAAGCCAGAACCACATACTCTATGACTCATTTCATCAGAAATTCTAGAACATGAAAATTAATCTATAGTTAGTTGCCTGGGACCAGTGGTGGTAGGGATTGATTTCAAAGAGGTAGGAGGAAACTTTTTGTTTTTGTGAAAAACTTTTTTGTTTTACTTTGTGTGGTGTTTATATGACTTATATATTTGTCACTATATTATACATGAATTATACATCAATTAAGTTGCATTTTTTTAAAAAAAGGAAGCGATGGCAAGACTGACTGGATGATTCGTGCAGAGAAGAGATTCGCAATTCATAGGCCTTTATTGAGACTATATAGGTCAAGGGCTGCCCTTTACGCAGGAAGCTTCTCTCATGCCAGAGTGGAGAGATCTTCTCCGCTATACCAAGTCCTTCCTAGCACCCCCAGTTCTCTCTAGGCAGTTCTTTACAAAGGAATTCTCCTGCCCTCCCTAAACTCCACCACTGCCCACCCAGGTGTAACCACCTGGCTGCCAACAATTCTATGTTTCACGGAACGGGTGGGGTTGGTTTGCTCCCTATAGACCTTGAAATCATTCGGATTCTGCCCCAATTCTCTTTCCTTCCTTCTGTAATACTTCCTATACCCAAGTCCAGAACCGCTCCAAAGTTCTGCAAATCCAAAATTGTTAATTTGTTCTCAAGGTTTTTACTTCTTGATGTGCATCCATTGATTTAATCCCAGTTGAAAGTGTATTCGTTGTCTATTACTGCATAACAAATACCACAAAATTTAGTGGCTTAAAACAACAATAAAAAGGAAATGAGGATCACTGGGGATCATCTTGGAGGCTGACTAATATACAGTCAGTAAATGCTTACTTGTGTATTTATGTCCATCTACTTCATTTTATTCCTTAGCGAGCGTTTTACCTGCTAATTGTGAAGAAAATGCCAGTCATTCTTTATTAGTATGATGGATACTACGACAAAGGTAACTAAGAAGTATATACTACTTAAAAATTACAATTGTATTGATACATGATTCTCTCTTTAAAAAAATTAATATACTTTTTTTATAAAAAGCCATTGTATTAAAAATTGAGCTGAAAGTTCCCGTATACACCCCACTCCGTTTCTTCTATTAACGTCTTGCATTAGCACAGTACATTTGTTACAATTAATGAGCCAATACTGATACATTTTTATTAACTAAAATCCAACTGAAGTTTATATTAGGGTTTATTCTTTGTGTTGTACATTCTATGGATTTTGACAAATGTATAATGACATGTATCCACCTTTACAATATCATGCAAAACAAATTTCACTTCTTTAAAAGTATCTTTTGCTCCATCTATTAATCCCGTCCTTGCCCCTGAACCCCTAATCTTTTTACTATTTCTAGTTTTGCCTTTTCCAGAATGTCATATAGTTGAAATCATAAGTATGTAGCCTTTTCGAACTGGCTTCTTTCACTTCGCAAAATGTACCTAATTTTCCTCATGTTTTTCTGTGACTTGGTAACTCACTTCTTTTTATGCCAAGTAATATTCCATTGTCTGAATGTACCAGTCTGTTTATCCAATCACTTATTGAAGAGTATCTTGGTTGCTTCCAAATTTTGAGAATTATGAATAAAGCTGCTATAAACATTGATGTGCAGGGTTTTGTGCAGATGCATACTTTTTCACCCCTGGTTCTTCAGGTTTACACTGGACTTTTTTTCTTAGATGGCTCATTTCTTCCATAAGTAAGAAAAACCCTTCATCTTGTTTATATGACTCCAAATTCCTATTGGGTTTTCAATAAACATTAATTACCACAAGGTTTCCTCAAAACTCATATAGGCATTTACAAATTTGTTGAGTGATTTTCAGTCTTTTGGATTTCTAGTTTGATGGCTATTTCCACAGGAAGGTAGAATTGTGTGCTATAATTGAGATTGGAGTCCCACATAACTTCTGTGTAATGTAACTAGAAGTATTTTAAGTTCTTTTCATTTGATGTTTTAAATGTCTACTTTGTAATTTCTCTTTCTGTCCTTAACTGAGCACTTCATTAAGTAAAACTTCTAGCATAACCATATCTGAATTACTGAATATTCCATTTGACTACAGAATGAAGATTATGTTTCTCTAAAAACATCACACTCAATTCATGTGTTTTTATTATTTTTTAAGCCATTCTAGAGGCCCTAAATACTCACATGGCACCAAAACAAACTGTTCTGTGTGGGAACACATATTTTGCTCTAGTTCTAGACAGCTGTAGCAGACAGCTGTACTTTCTTAGCTGCACTGTATCCAACCCTTCTTCCTGTTCGAGGAATTCCTCCACAGTCTTGGTGAAAGGCATGCCCTCCTTCTCAGTCTGAAAGCGTGAGAGGCCGTATCCTGATGTCCCTCACCTCTAGCAGCCTGGGCACGGCACATGATCTTTAGCCAATGATCACTTTTCCAGAAATTTAAATCTTGACCAAGAGACACAAAGGGGCAATGAAATTTTTTTTTAACATCTTTATTGGAGTATAATTGCTTTACAATGGTGTGTTAGTTTCTGCTTTATAACAAAGTGAATAAGCTATACATATACATATGTCCCCATATCTCCTCCTTCTTGCGTCTCCCTCCCACCCTCTCCCTATCCCACCCCTCTAGCTGGTCACAAAGCACCGAGCTGATCTCCCTGTGCTATGCGGCTGCTTCCCACTAGCTATCTACTTTACATTTGGTAGTGTATATATGTCCATGCCACTCTCTCACTTCTTCCCAGCTTACCCTTCCCCCCACCATGTCCTCAAGTCCACTCTCTACATCTGTGTCTTTATTCCTGTCCTGCCCCTAGGTTCTTCAGAACCTTTTTTTTTTTTTTAAGATTCCATGTATATGTGTTGGCATACGGTATTTGTTTTTCTTCTGACTTACTTCACTCTGTATGACAGACTCTAGGTCCCTCTACCTCACTACAAATAACTCAATTTCGTTTCTTTTTATGGCTGAGTAATATTCCATTGTATATATGTGCCACGTCTTTATCCATTCATCTGTCAGTGGACACAGGTTGCTTCCATACTTTGGCTATTGTAAATAGAGCTGCAATGAACATTGTGGTACATGACTCTTTTTGAGTTATGGTTTTCTCAGGGTATATGCCCAGTAGTGGGATTGCTGGGTCATATGGTAGTTCTATTTTTAGTTTTTTAAGGAACCTCCATACTGTTCTCCATAGTGGCTGTATCAATTTACATTCCCACCAACAGTGCAAGAGGGTTCCTTTTCTCTACATCCTCTCCAGCATTTACTGTTTGTAGATTTTTTGATGATGGCCATTCTGACTGGTGTCAGGTGATACCTCATTGTAGTTTTGATTTGCATTTCTCTAATAATTAGTGATGTTGAGCATCCTTTCATGTGTTTGTTGGCAATCTGTATACTGTCTTTGGAGAAATGTCTAGGTCTTCTGCCCATTTTTGGATTGGGTTGTTTGCTTTTTTGATACTGAGCTGTTTGTAAATTCTGAAGATTAATCCTTTGTCAGTTGCTTCATTTGCAAATATTTTCTCCCATTCTGAGGGTTGTCTTTTTGTCTTGTTTATGGTTTCCTTGGGGCAATGAAATTTAATTCCCAGCAGTGGGGAGATTATCTCCAAGGGCAGTTGAGGTGGAATCCCAAAGAGACAGCAGCAGTGCCCTGCAACAAAGGTAACTGTGTCCTTCCCAGGCTATTGGGCTATTGCTGCTAACATTTTCCAGCTTCTTGGCTGCTCGAGTTACCTGGGTCTTTACCTATTTTTCCAGCCTGGTATTACAATTTCCTGTCAATTCATGAGCCCTTTATATCCTTCCAATAAATTCCTTTAAGATTGTTAAAGTAGCTGTTACTTTCAACAGAAGTCTTTTAATTGATGAATCAGCAAAATCAATCCATTCATTAATTCCCCCATTAGTCATTCAGAAACTACCAGGTACCGTACATTGGGGGAGGCTTAATATGATGGTGAGTAGACACTGTTTCTGTCATGTTGCAACCTACAGTCTATTGGAGGAAACAGACAAGGAAAGAGAAGACTGCAGTACATGCTTGATGCAGAAGGACATTATTCATCAGGAACACAAAAGAGGAACATTTAATCCAACCTTAGTGATGGTAGTGGTGGGGGCGGTCGGAGAAAGCTTCAAGTGGTACCTAAACCTGACATTCGAATATGTAAAAATTACACCTAGTTGGGAGGTAGGAGGTGGGTTGAGTATTCCACACAGAGGGAGCAGCCCGTGTGAAGGCCCAGCGTTGAGAGACGAACAGGACCTTCAAAGAACTAAAAAGAAGCTCCAGATGACTGAAGTGCAGAGTTTGAGCAGAGAGAGAAAGGGCAGTCTGGAGCCATGAGGGGGACTCGGATCATGCAGAGTGATGTGAGCCCCCTGCTGGCGTTAGCACTTTCTCCTAGAAGCAGTTGGGAGCAACTGTAGAGTTTTAAGCAGAAGCCTCAGTATACACGAGCCTGGTGCCTGGGTGCCTGGAGAAATTGTGTAAGAAAATAAAAGGTCGCAAAGTTTAGGAGTGGGAACAAAAATCTCTATTTCATGCCCTTAACAATCTTTTTTTTTTTTTTTTAAGAACAATGATAATGTGCTTTCCTCTATGTGTGGAAATGATAATATTAAGCTAAAAATTAGCAGACAGGTTTGTTGAGAATTTTTTTCTATAACGGCAATGGACTTATGATGAGTCATCAATATTCTGCAAAGGATTGCCTATGACAGTGGCCTTCAGGTTTTTTTGCTTATAATTCCTAAAGTGATTTTAAAAGCCTATATATACCTTTGCACCTTTTTATGTTGACATTTAAGATTCTTATATCACTCCTGTGTGTATCCAAAAGACTCAAACGATGGCTGTTTGATACCGACTATCATTCTTTTGGAAAAACTATACTAATCTTCAACAGCCAGAATTTTACCTTGTTCTCTTTTCCATTCCACTTCCCTCACATATTTTTATCCTAATGTAATATACTAACACACTTTTTTTGCTTTAAAGTCTTTCACTGATCACCTTATCATACACCCTGCCATAAGAAAAAAAAGTATATAAGTGAAAACTGTTGAGTGTTAAAATTTTTCTTCTAGATTGAGTCATAATTTCAATTATCAGTAATATACAATTGATTAAAACAGCAAATATAATTCATGTTTTGATTAATCATTTTTAAATATTAGTAAAGTTAAAGGAGTTCCCTGGTGGCCTAGTAGTTACGATTTTGGGGTTCCACTGCTGTGGCCTGGGTTCGATACCTGGTGGAGGAACTGAGATCCCACCAGCCACATGGTGCCCAGCAAAAAAAAAAAAAAAAATTAAAGCTATTCTATGTGCTCAGAGAGGAATATTACTTATTGCTACAATGAGACAGGTTGTCTTGATTAAACAAGTCTTTCCCAGACACAATGTTTCAGTTGTGCCTTGGTTTGTCTTTGTTCTTACACTTTTGGGCAATGTGCCATTAAGATTAGAGAATGAGAGTTCTGTCTTTGTTTTATAAAGTGGGAGAGAGAACGAGCAAGATAACTTGACCACAAGAACATTCTCAGGCAGATCAATTTTAGAAGTATGGAAGCTGATCATTCGAAAACGGATTTCCTCAAAACTTTCCCAGCCTATGTACCCCTTGGAATGTCTTTGAGTACCACCAGCGAGTTTGAAAACCATGAGTCAAATGTAAAGAGTACTGGATGGGAGACAAAATAAACAAGGCTTCTTTTACAAAATAGCTTTGGGACCTTAGACAGGACATTTGATTTGTGTAAATCTCAGTTTCCATCAATAAAGTGACTTGGGGGGGGTGAACTTAAAATTTAAAGATTCTTTCCAGCTCTAAAACCCCTTGATTTCCATTGGAAATTTTTAGCTATGCCCAGGACACTGGGAAGAAGGCCAGGCACCAATACAGAAAGGGAAAAGGAAAGATGGATAGCATTTATGTGATCACTAAGGACATGATAAAGGAAAAGGAAGGGATTGTGTGGATATAGATCAAGAAACACTTTTTAAAAAGTGTTTTTATTTGTGTTTAGGGTATGTTTTGGGGTTGAAAATTCAAGTTTCACATTATTGTTTATGTGGCTGTGGACAACTCAATCTCCTTGAGCTTTACTTTCCTCAACTATTAAATGGGAATAATACTGTATACTTTGTACCTTAGGGGATGATTAAAAGACAGAAACTAAGGCTTATTTCCCTTAGCATATTTTCAAAGGTCCTCCATGCAATAGCATGTATCAGAAATTCATTCTTTTTTATTGCTGAAAAAAATACTATATTGTAAGGATGTGTCACATTTTGTTTATCCATTCATCTGCTAATGGACATTTGGGTTGTTTCCACTTTTGGGCTATTATGAATTATGCTGTTAACATTTGTGTACAAGTTTTTTCATGGAGATATGGTTACATATCTTGTGGGTACATAGCTAGGATTGAATTTGCTGGGTCATAGTGTAATTCTGTGTCTAACATTTTGAGGAACTGCCAAACTGTTTTCCAAAGTGGTTGTATCACGTTTACATTCTCACCACCGATGTATGAGGGTTCCATTTTCTCTGCATCTCTGACAAAACCTGTCTATTGACTATAGCCATCCTGGTGTGTAAAGTGGTATCTCATTGTGGTTTTTATCTGAATTTCCCTAATGGCTAATAATACTGAGCATCTTTTCATCTTTCCTTTCTGGCCATTTGTATGCCTTCTTTGGAGAAATGTCTATTCGGATCTTTTAACCATTTTAAAATTGGGTTATTTATCCTTCCATTGTGGAGTTGCGGGAGTTCTTTATATATTCTACGTGCAAATCCCTCACCACATAATTTGTAAAGATTTATGCACTGTCTTTTTCATTTTCTTGATGGTGTCATTTGAAGCAGCACAAGCTTTTTAATTTTGATAAGTCTAATTTATCATTTTTCCTTTTGTCATTTGTGCTTTTGGTGTCTCATCTGAGAAGGTTTTGTGTAACCCAAGGTTGCAAATATTTATTCCTATGTTTAACTTCTCAGAGTTTTATAGTTTTAGCTCTTATATTAGGCCTCTGATCCATTTTGAGCTAATTTTTGTATATTGTATGAGGTTGGGGTCCAACTTCACTCTTTTGCATGTGGCTGTCGAGTTGGCCTAGCACCATTTTTTTTTCTTTGCTATTACTTATATTGTGATAATGGGGAAAATGGAAATGAGGAGGGGCCTGAGCAGTTGTTGTTTACACCTATCAACAACAATCTCCTTCACCATAACCACCTGCTGAATAGACAATTCTTCCCCATCAAATTGTCTTGGCACCCTTGTTAAAAATCATCTGACCATAAATATAAGGGTGAATCAATTATTAAATGCTGATTCTAATAATTTTATTGCAATGCTCTGAACACAAAATAAGATTCACATTGTCAGTTAAAAAGTTCTGGTAGAAATTATTTCCTTTGACCTATATCTCCAATAGTGTATTTTAAGGCTATAATGACCTTATTAATGAGAACTTTTAACACAACATAAATGAATTGTTTGCTTGTTTATCCCTTCTCCATCAAATCTGTTAGTTGATGTAATTAGAAATTTAAAGTATTCTTTTTTTTTTCAGCTTGAAAAGTTTTTTATTTATTTCTATCTTATATCCATTTCTTTCCTAAGTATTCTTTCCTAAGTATTTTCACACTTGCCTTTAAGTCCTTAAACTTTTTAAAATAATTGTTTTTAAAGTCTTGGTGCACTAATTCTATCATTTCAGCATTTTTAGGTCTATTTCTTTTTTGTTTGTTTTTAACACCTTTATTGGAGTATAATTGCTTTACAATGGTGTGTAATCTGTAGTCGAACTTCCAAATATTCCTGAATAACTATCTCCTAAGAGTACATATTCTTATGAGATTAGACATTAACACAATATTGATTCCAATAAATTACGTACCCTGTAATTCCTGACACAATTCAATGTATTGATTTGTCTCTATAACAAGGCATAACAATATAACATAACTAAGACATGTAGTTTTGTGCCAGGGTGTGAACCCTGAGTTTTTGGACCAAGCAATTCCCCAAATAATGACAAAAATTGCTCCAGGACAAGCCTGAAAAATAATTTCATTACTGGTATCATTTCTGACTCAGAGGTAGTAGGCTTCTGAAACTGTGTGAAAAATGAGCATGGGAGTGACACATCGCTTCAGTTTTACTAGTGAAATTGACCTTAAGTTTTCATTGCAAATTTTGTGTCATATTTTCTTTTATTCTGGAATATATTGCTCTGTGTGTGTGTCTATGTCCCAGGCTTCTTTATTTAAGAACAAAGTGATGAATGACATGGGGATTATAATCAGGAGCATCCCTGAACTTCACCCTCCCTCCAACCACCTCCTCCAAACTCCCTGTTCCCACACCTTCTCAGCTGTCAATTCTTTTCTTAGTGAATAAAGAACTTAGTCCCCAAAGCCCTGGTAGAAACCCCAATGTTTTCCCCTAGCTCTTCCCTTTCCTTTGGCCCCCATTCCTCGGTTTGAAGGCATGGGAAAGCCCAGAGTGGTGACAGACACAGAGGGAAAGAAAGGCTTCACTCCCATGGAAAGAGACTGAGGAGTGCAGCTCAGTGAAGTAAGCGTCACTACAGCCTGGGGTGACAAAATAGGGCCCTGGGGCCAGAGGAGAGGGTACTGATTCCCCTGAGAAAGGAGACTGCCCAACAGCCTCAAAATCCTCTCAGTGCGAATATTCACTTGCGTGATTGTTTGCCCTTCTGGTGACAGTTGCAGAACCATACCTGAACCATGTCCTTCTCAAGCCTGAGCTGCTGGACAATGTGGCTGATCTGCTGCAGTGTGGGTTTTAGACACTTATGTTGAGACAGATTCTGAGGCTATATTTAGGATGAGCAGGAAAGAATGCTCTCATTAATGATATCCACCACTGAAGTGGGATGGGAGCATGGGGTCACACTGCAATAGTTAGGAATTTAGTTTATCTATAATAAAAATGGAAAAAACCAGTGGCTTAAACATATTACCAGTTTTATATGTCTTTTTCAGTCCAGGGTTGATTTGGTAGATCCACAATGTCCTCAGAGAGCCAGGTCCTTCTCTCTTCCCTTCACCTAGCCATCCTTAACTTGTGCTTGTTCCTTTGTAGTCACAAGATGGCTGCTCAAACTCCAGGACTGCATTTGAGTTCCAGATGTAAAGAAAAGTAAAAGGCAAGGTCAGCTAAATTGGCCTTCCATTTTAAGAAAGCATTCCCAGAAGCCTCATCCAACAACTTCTACTTACATTTCGTTGGCCAGGACTGCATAGCATGGTCAGGTCCTTCATCTGCAGAGACTGCTGGGAGATGTAGTTTTAAGCTAGGCACATTTATACACCCAATGAAACTTGCATTGTTACTTATAACCAGGGAGAATCCCTATTAGGAAGGCCTCTAACAGTTTGGTCCACCTTTCCTGTTTTATAAATAGGCATCCTTCAGCTTTACTGAACCAGCAAGAACTGCACTCCCCCGCAAGCCCCAACACAGAAGCAGCATTGGTTTTCTGCAAACTGTTGATAGCAAGTGTGCGCCTCTGAACTGTGTAAAAGATGAGTGTCGGAACAGCACGTCTATCACATCAGTGTTTTACAACTGAAGCTGAATTTAAAATTTTATCTTAAATTTCTGTGTTCTACTTTCTTTTATTCTGGAATATATTACTATAGTTGGGGTCAACATAAATCTCAGGAGCACTGATATCACTGTGAAACAGTTTGTAATTCTTTAAAAGGCTGAACTACAAAGCTAGACAGACCTGGGTTAGGATCCCACACCCACATTTACTACCAGTGTACTTTGGGCAAGACACTCAATCTCTCTGTGCCTCAGTTTCCTAATTTGTAAACTGTGGATAGTAATTTTTACAGGGAGGGTGATCAGATAATTTATGTCCAAACTGGGAAACTTATGTGCTGGCAGGGGGATATTATTAATAATTATACTTGAACAAATGGCATAAACCAGGACCACTGCAGGCAAACTGAGGACTATGGTCGCCCTATTTTTAGGCACTGTTGAGAGGATTAAATGAGAAGATAAATATAAAGCACTTAGCACAGAGCCTGACACATAGTAAGTGCACATAAATATTGGCCACTACTTGTTTTTATAATTAAATTGAAAAGTTCCATTGTTTTGGATTTGCTTTTCTCTCTTTTAACAATAATATGCTTGATATTCTTCCTTATGATAAAGAATAGTGGGCTGAAGTAAGGAGAGCTTAAACTTTTTCAAGACTGAGAAAACCTAATAAAAACTCAAACAACCAATTTCTCTAAAGGAGAAGCAATGTTGAAAGACACTACAGAAACTCCTAGTTATAAGGAAGATTCTGGAATGGTAGTGCATGACCTATCTGTGAACTGTCTGTACCACTAGAAGCATGAACAGAAGCAGTGGAATTTTAATGATTTTGTATGGCACTTCTCAAAGGTTTTGGTCTGAAGATCCTTTTACACTTAAAAAAATTTCTGAGGACCATAAAAGAGTTTTTGTTTATATGAGTTATATCTGTTGATATTAGAAATAAAAATGGAGACAATTTAAAAATATTCATTTAGGGAATTCCCTGGCGGTCCAGTGGTTAGGACTCTGCACTTTCACTGCCGAGGGCCTGGGTTCGATCCCTGGTCTGGGAGCTAGGATCCTGCAAGCTGTGCACCATGGCACCAAAAAGAAAAAAAAAGTCATTCAAAATAACAATAACTTCATCATATAGTAACACAACTAACACATTTAAATGCAAGAAACTATCTTTACAAAACAAAAATATTAGAGGATTAATGTTTTACCTTTCTACAGATCTCCTTTCGACTGGTTTAGTAGGACTGAAACTGATTCTCGTATCAGCCTTTTTATGCAATTTGTTGCAATATGTTATTTTGGTGGAAATGTATGAAAAAGACATGTTGTTGGAAAAGCGAGGGAGTATTTTAATAGCTTTTCCAGATAACTGTGGTTATTCTTTGATACTACACCAAAACTCCACAGTAGCTTCTTAATTAACTTAATTTATTTATTTCTGGCTGCATTGGGTCTTCGTTGCTGCGTGCGGGCTTTGTCTAGCTGCGGCGTGGGGCTACTCTTCGCTGTGGTGTGCCAGCTTCTCATTGCGGTGGCTTCTCTTGTTGCGGAGCACGGGCTTCAGTAGTTGTGGCTCGTGGGATCTAGAGCACAGGCTCAGTAGTTGTGGCACACGGGCTTAGTTGCTCCACGGCATGTGGGATCTTCCTGGAGCAGGGCTCGAACCCGTGTCCCCTGCATTGGCAGGAGGATTCTTAACCACTGCACCACCAGGGAAGTCCCCACAGTAGCTTCTTAAAGGTTAGTTATAAAGTGGAATCTGAGAACAGATCTATGAACTTTTTGTATGGTTACATTAAAAAACATCAGTCTGTCCTGCACTCTGAATGAATCTTTTACTCGTGATTTTGTAACATCATCCATTAGTCAGTTGGAAAATATTGGGTCACTGAGTTAGGCAGATATTCCAAATGTTTACACATTTCAGAAACTTAATACCTTAGAACATTCTAGAAAACATATGAACACACAAGCACACATTCCATTAGCCATCAGAACAATGACGTCATCACATGTCATGTTGCCTCTGGAAAACTCCATGGTGCATTTGTGAAAAAATAAGAATGATAAGGACAAATCATGTCTTACTATGAAAATAGCTTTGATTGCATGATTCATTGAAAAAGCGTTATTTAGTCTCAGGCCACACTTTAAGAACAGCTGATTAGGTATGTTATGACCCATTAGATAAACAAAGAAAGCAAAAAACTTACCACCTCCTTCTCTCTCTCTCTCTTAAACCAGTAGACAGTATATCATAACACACAAACAGTAAAATACTAAAACACAGTCCCAAGTGGCAACTTCAAGTCTCTTTACATGAAGATAAGTAGACAAGCTTATAGAAACAGATGGCTTCTAATTTAAAGGTCTTTCTCAGTTTTTGGAGTTTGAACCCTGTTAATCATTAGCACTTCAATGCATGGGGGGCAGGTGTCTTTGGGGAGTTCAGAATGCTTCGCTTTTGCCTCTTTTCCCCATCTCACCCCCCCAGACTCTTTGCAGAAACATATGGGGTGGCAGAACCCCACTAAAAATATTTTCGTATATGTTTTCTGTTTGCAACCTGGACTGGAAGCTACCCATTTATTTTGGAACATGTTTTCTTTGCAAGTATACAACAGAAGATGATATTCTTACCTGGAGTTGGTCGTATGTGATGAACTGCTAGATAAATCCATTTTGCTCTCCTTGTTCTGTTACTCCAGGTTTTTCAAAGTAGGATGATGGGGCAGGTTGATCGTATTTTTTTGGAAAAATCCTCTCGCTAACTGGTTTAGGTTGTAGGAACTTCAGGCAGCAATACTGCCAAGGAGAAACGTTTTTAGGCACCTTGTCCCTTACTTTTCTATTCAGTTTCCCAGTGCATTTACCACATCCTTCTGGCTGCATGGTAGGTCCCACTGTGTGGCCCACCCAGGGCCTATCCTCCTGGGAAATGAACTGCCTTCAAGATTACCTACTCCTTTGCCTCCTCCTCTATTCTTCAGCAAACACCCTTTGTACTCTTTCAGTGAAGTCTGATTTCAGCTTAGGTGAGTCCAGACTGAGATACAGTGTTAGTGTATTAAAATTATTAAGGCATGAATGATGGATGGGTACCAAGTGTTTAAGAACTAAGAGCCAACTGATGCACTGAATAAACTTGAAAACGGGTGACTACATGTAGCCATTGAATGCACTGCTCAGCTTCTCTTTGCAACCATATTAAAACCCCACAAGCCACTAATAAGGACCTGCTGTGTAGCACAGGGAACTCTACTCAATACTCTGTAATGGCCTATATGGGAAAGGAATCTAAAAAAGAGTGGGTATATGCGGATGTATAACTGATTCACTTCGCGTACACCTGAAACACAACATTGTAAGCCACCTATAATACAATTAAAGTTAAAAAAAAAAACCCCAAACCAATAAGCCATTTAAGTTAAGGCTAACCTGGTAATGCAAGAAATGAGACGTGAGGTCACCGAATGGTTATGCTTTGCAGCCCCACAGGTTTGGATAGTTAAGGTGAAAGAGGGTGAAGTGCCAAGAGGGCAGCTCTCATTTGAGCGAGATGTTTTGACTTCAAGGCCGCCGGTAAAAATTTTGGGGTTTCCCGGAGTTCCTTTCGACGTTTCATTATTCCTCGTATTAACTTTTTTTTTTTTAAACTTCAGTGTTAATGGAAGCGCCAGACTGGGATTTCCAACTGTGTTTTTAGGTCAAGATGGGGCCTGGAACTTGGGTGTACAAGAGATAGTTTAAGCTAACGCCATCTCCACCCTCTTTTGCAGGGTGCCCTCTCCCTCTTTCGCAGCTGTTCCAACCTCCGTCCGGGCTTGGCTGAGAGGAGACGACGGGGTGATTATCCAGCCCAGAAGACCATTAATGGCATTATTCCTGAGTCTCCAGATTCTTGCTCTCGCCGTGCGGCGCCTGCGAAGATCCAGAGCCGGTGCTGCGCGCTGGACGCAAGCTACAGGCACGACCGGCGCGCCGTCACCCCGACACTCTCCAGCGACAGCAGTGGGCGGCGCACGAACCCTCTCCTTTCTTTAACTCTTCTTCACAGAGTCCCACCCCCATCGGAAGTGGAGCCGTCTCTACGTTCCCTCACTTCCGGGCCAGACGCCCGTCGCTTGGCGGGAGCGAGCACGACCGTGCGCGGCAACTTTGTTCCCGCCTCCTTTGCCCCTGACACCACTCACCTTGGGCTTTCTCGGAGCGCGACGTGCGTGCGCGCCCCCGGCCTTGCGTCAGGGCCGAAGAGGGGAAAGGCCGAAAGAGCGAGGCTAGAAGGAGGGGTTGTGGAGGTTAGGGCCCAACTAGCAAGTCCCATCTCCCTCCCTCCTCCTGACGAGGAGCGGAGAGGGAAGGGGAGGAGCGAGGCGGGCCAGCCGCGCACACCAGGAGCCTCCTCGTGGAGGCGGGGGGGGGGAGCGGAGGAAAGGGGCAGCGCCGCCACCTCTGCTCGCCGCGCCGAAGGAAGAAGAAAGTCAGGGCCCATACCCACCCCCACAGACTCAGAAACGCCCCCCCCGCCCCCATCTCCCCGGAAACAGCCCCCCGCCCAGACCCGCACACTCGCTGCCCCAACCGTGAGCCGCAGCCCGGTCGCCCCCGCCTCGCCCCGCCCCGCCGCCCGTCCCTGCGGGCCGCAGAGTGCGCGAGGCCTTAGGCCGGGAGTTGTTGTCAGGCCCAGGCCACTTCTGAGGCGCCCGCCGTGTGTCGCCGCCACCACAGGAGGACAACGTCGACGAGGAGAAGGAGGCGGCGGAGGCGTGTTGTTGTCTCGCCCACTCCCCTCCCCTGAACTCGCACCCAACGTCAGGGCCCGATGGAGTGAAGCGGAGACGAAGGTGGTACTTCCGCGTTGCGCTGCCGGAGCCGAGAGCGCGGCCGAGGTCGCTCTCCCCCACCCCCGGGGGCACTTGGAGGACTCCGGACTCCCCCGCAGGTCAGCGCCCGGCGCATCTGGTGTTTTTGCTGCCGAGGCTAGGAAGACGAGCACGATCGGGAGCTCCTCCGCCCGGATTCCCTGCTTCCCTCGGGCCCGGAGGCCGCTGCGTACCCCACTGTGATCTGGAACCCAGGGACCCGAGTCCCGACCCGGATTATCGTGGCGCGTCTCCCGGCCGGCCCTGGTGCTCGGTGTCCCTCCGCCACCGCCGCCGCCGTTCCCGTTTCCGGCGGGGGAGATGGCCAGGATCTGACCCGGGAGGAGGCCGCACCCGCGCCGCGCTCTGCGGCGGGCTCTAGGCGATGCCGAGTAGCTCGGACACGGCGCTGGGGGGAGGCGGGGGCTTGAGCTGGGCGGAGAAGAAGTTGGAGGAACGCCGCAAGCGGAGGCGATTCCTGTCCCCTCAGCAGCCGCCGCTGCTGTTGCCGCTCCTGCAGCCGCAGCTCCTGCAACCGCCGCCGCCGCCCCCGCCGCCTCTGCTCTTCCTGGCTGCTCCCGGCACGGCCGCCGCCGCAGCCGCCGCCGCCGCGGCCTCCTCCTCTTGCTTCAGCCCGGGCCCCCCTCTGGAGGTCAAGCGGCTGGCGAGAGGCAAGAGGCGCGCAGGAGGGCGGCAGAAGCGGCGCCGCGGGCCCCGCGCCGGGCAGGAGGCGGAGAAGCGTCGGGTCTTCTCGCTGCCCCAGCCGCAGCAGGACGGCGGTGGCGGTGCTAGTAGCGGCGGGGGTGTGACCCCGCTGGTGGAGTACGAGGATGTAAGCTCCCAGTCCGAGCAGGGGCTGCTGCTGGGGGGGGTCAGCGCGGCAACGGCGGCGACGGCTGCCGGGGGAACGGGGGGCAGCGGCGGGAGTCCGGCCTCCTCCTCCGGCACCCAGCGGCGCGGGGAGGGGTCGGAGCGCAGGCCCCGCCGGGACCGCCGCAGCAGCAGCGGCCGCAGCAAAGACCGCCACCGCGAGCACCGGAGGCGGGACGGGCAGCGCGGCGGCGGCGGCGGCGGCGAGGCCTCCAAGTCCCGCAGCCGCCACGGCCACGGCGGCGAGGAGCGGGTGGAGGCCGCCAAAAGTGGCAGCAGCAGCAGCAGCGGCGGCCGCCGGAAAAGCGCCTCGGCCACGTCCAGCAGCAGTAGCAGCCGCAAGGACCGAGACCCGAAGGCCCACCGGAGCCGGACTAAGTCGTCCAAGGAGCCGCCGTCGGCCTACAAGGAGCCGCCCAAGGCCTACCGGGAGGACAAGACCGAGCCCAAGGCCTACAGGCGGCGGCAGCGGTCCCTGAGCCCGCTGGGAGGCCGGGACGACAGCCCGGTGTCCCACAGGGTCTCGCAGAGCCTGCGGAGCCGCAAGTCCCCCAGCCCGGCGGGAGGCGGCAGCAGCCCCTACTCGCGGCGTCTGGCCCGCTCCCCGAGCCCCTACAGCCGCCGCCGCTCCCCCAGCTACAGCCGCCACAGCTCCTACGAGCGGGGCGGCGACGTGTCCCCCAGCCCGTACAGCAGCAGCAGCTGGCGCCGCTCCCGGAGCCCCTACAGCCCTGTGATCAGGTGAGTCTGGCGTCCCGGG